GGGTAACAACACTTTATTCTTCCTTCCCCAATAACAGAGAAACTGGGGATCCCACAGCAGCCAAAGTGCTCATGCTAGGCGGGGTGGGTGTGCCTATGCAAACAAGATCAGCCCCTGGAGTTCTTTTCCACAACTCGCCACAATTCACCACCAGATGTCAGGGTAGAGCTCATCCTGACTCTGCTTACATAAGGCTTGATTAGGAAAAGAGGGAAAGGTCAATTAACATGCATTAGCTAATCTCAACCTAACCTCAACCTCTGTTCCTAGCCTGCATGGACAGGTCTGTAAAGTGTTTGTGGAGGCTTTTGCAGGGAATGTGCCTCTGCCGGATGACTTAGAAATGTCTGTTACCAGTGTTTTCTCTCAACAGCAGTCATTGTTGTTCACCACTCTAGGTAACTTAATGGAACACCTGCTGGCAGGCTTGATGTACCCCAACGAAGGTGTAAAGGCTGCTGTCTGCTATCTTTACGGCAAGCTGTACTCTTCCCCCATTAGTTCAGAAAGGCTCTCAGTGCATTTCACAGAGAGGCTGCGTGACCTCTTCCTGGCTACCCTAGGGAATGCACAGACAAAGGAACTGCAGGTTAACTGCATGGGTAAGACACCTCAGAGAAACAAAAAGGTGGGGGGTTGTTTTTGATAGTTTGGGAGTTCTAATGTGTGCTGGACTCTGGATTGTTCCTCAGAACTCTGAACTTGCAAACTCTCAGCTGGTTGGACTATTTCGTAGGTAGTGAGCGTACTTGTCCACAGTTGCTGATCCCTTCTGTTACTGCACAACAATTGTTCATCCTAGCCCCATTGCCAAACCCTCCTACTATAACCAGGGAAGCAACACATCCTGTTGCTGGAACCCCAGTGGTACCTGCTGAAACTGTCTCTGAAGGCCTCCAGCTTGCACCGTAGCTTGACCTGTCCCAATTTGACTGTGTCATCTTCCTGGAAATCAAGTAATCCCCTAAAGTTAAAGTGACTGATTCCAACCTCTACATGCAATCAGATAGATTGGATTTGTAAAGTAGCTGGATTTATTCTGGAGATATGAAGTGTCTCGTAGTTCAGGCTGAAAAATAAAAATGGAGATTGGCTTTCTCTCACAGGCGCCGACTTTCCAATATGCCCACCCTCACCCCACACCCTGCTCTGTCTCTTTCCGCCCCCTCCCCCAAGTGTGCCCCATCCTCACTCCTCCCCCTTCCCGCCGAGAGCCTTCTGCATGCTGCAAAACAGCTGATCGCGGCGGACGGGAGGCAAAGGGTTGGAGGGGGAGGAGCTGGTCGGCGGGGCCCACCGGTGGGTGGGAGGCACTGGGGGAGGAAGGTGGGGCTGATGGGGGGCTGCCAGTGGGTGCTCAGCACCACCATTTTTTCCCCTGTGGGTGCTCCAGCCCCGGAGCACCCACGGAGTCAGCGCCTATGCTTTCTCTAAGCTTCTGGGTGATGCAGTCAGGACCATCGTTTTGCATAGAGCAGTGATGTCATGCAATACATAGGATAGCTTCGGCTTCACTCAGACAGCTCAAATGCACACCACACAGCGATCTCTCTCTTTACTGTAGAAGGGGAACAGTAGTCTGCTTGCTTTTCACATCCAGCAGTCAGCCATTTGTAACAGATGGCTCTTTTCAAAAGTTCACTCCAACAGCCCTGCTACATCACTTCTGAACTTACATTAGAGTGTCGCCTACAAAATCTCTTGTTTATGATTTGCATCAGTGCATGTAACAATGTGCACTGTATGTTTATAATGTGCTGCTTGTGGTAGGATCTTTAAACTTGTAGCAGTTACAGAAATGGGATTATTAAATGGGTAGGTGTGAGAGCAGGTCGGGAGAATGGATAGCAAGAGGTGTGAATGGTTGGCACTAGTAAGTACCTGGGGGAGAAACTGGTGGTTGAGTCCCTGGCTGGAAGCAGCAGAGAAGTGGCTGGTTTTGAGCTGTGCTTTAAAAAGGGTTTGGAGGTGAGGAATCAGAAAGGCAGAAGGAGTGGATCAGGTTGTGCCAGAAAGCTGGTGCAATGGCAGTTAAAGGATCCGGCGATAGAAGAGGGAACGGGGAATGGAGAGAATCAGAAATGGCAAAGAGGAGAATTGGGGATGGGGTGTGTGTGTAAAGCATTGATGGACGGTGGAGATACATGAGGGTATGGCCCTGAATGTAAGCAGAAGGGTTTTGTCAAGAATACAGCAGTGGGTAAGGAGTCAGTGACATGTTTCAGGACAGGATGTTGTGAAGCTCCCAATCCTCCCCACTTCCAGCTTGCTGCTTGTTCTTTCTCTCCCTTTGCAGGTTTGCTAAAGGAGCTGCTGAATTCTGACCATTTTGTATCAGTTATTATGAGCAATTCAAGAAGAGGGGCAGATTCTGAGAATACTGAGTTGTTGGAGGGAGAGAACCTACTGCCGCTAGTGCTCAAAAAGGTAATTGCTAAAGGGGTTACCACATCTCTCAACATGCCTTGTACAAGTGGCCAGTCAAATTATCCCTTACGTGAGGTGAGTTATAAATAGGAACAGTTATTTGCTGCACTGGTTCAAGTAGTCTCATATTATGTCCCCCATACTGATCAATGTCAGATGCAGCCTAGGAAGGTGGAAATCCCCCATAATGCACCACTTGTTCAATAGTGCACCAGTAGTGAGTGGAATTTCTTCCTGATCCCAGCTCTGTTTAGCTTATACGCTGAAGCATGAGGATCGACATAGCTCTTGTAAGCATTAACCTGGCTAGTGTGATTACAAAGCTATTCTCAGTCATAGGCGTCTTTAATGTTTTTCTTAATCTTGCTAAGTTACTTGCCCTGGTATTTATCTTGCCATAGCAAGTTACGCTAGGGAATTATATGTTGCTTAAAGAGATTTCTTTTTGCCTGTTTTAAATTGGTCTTTTTTGAGCTCCCTCTAAGGAATTCTTTCCTAATCAAGTCTGTGGTTTTGATTTTTTTCTTCATTTTTGTTTCCACACAGCTGTTGCTGTCCAGAGATGAGATACTACAGGTGGCAAGTGTTCAATGTATGACTGCTGTGCTTGTGCATTCTCCTATCAAATATGCTCCTGCCTTCATTCATGCAGACATCCCAGGTGAAGAAATACAATAATACCTTGTAGTTCTACAGTGTCTTTCCCTCTGGGGGTACCTTAACACTGTACAGTTTATGCACATAGGTTATCGGCCTCAATCCATGTAATGCATCCACCTCTGGGGTAGTCACAAAAGCCATTCTGCATCAACAAAACCCACCAACAGTATTATAGGAAGAGAAGTGAAAAATAAGCTCCTAGTTGAAATTGTAGGGGGAGTTTTATGTAGACAGAATGTAATGTCCTAAGTTGGAATTTGGGCAGGTCATCAAGTTTAAGACTCCTCTTGCAAAAAGTGCCAATGAGGATACTTATTATCCGTAATTGGTGTAAAGACAGCACTTCCAAATGCATAGCACTTCTAGGAGGCATTGGTCCAGTAGCGATTCAGAGCATAGACCATCCTTTACCAAATTACTAATTACTTCCTGCAGCATTTGAATTTTCCTTTGAAATCTCCCATCCAAGAATTAACCTGGCCTAACCCTGCGTAGATTATGCGTTCTCATGGCATGCTTAACTGCAGAACCCAAACAAGCCAACTTCTAGCCTGAATTAACCCTATATCATCCCCTGACTTCAGTGGGGTTGCATAGGATGTAATTCAGCTCAGACTTTGGCCCAGGAAGATGTTAAATTTTCATTTCCCCTCCGCAGAGGAATTAATCACTTTGGTTTTGTGCATCCCCTACTTTGGATGTGTAAGAGTTTGAGAGGCGGGGTCACAGCTGCTGTGACAAAGCTGGCTTTATAGCCCTTAAATCATGTCAAAATCTATAGCCATATTTCAGCTGCTTGCTAGCTATGTACTGGAAGGAGAGCAGCCCACTTGCCTTCAGGACCCTCCTGCTCTTTAGTCACTTTATTTTCAGGATGATGTATCCATCATTTTTCTCTGCGTTCTCCTTATCTTCTTTAAGAGACCTATTCCACAGTAATCCTCGCTTTGGCTGAGCAAAGCTGGAATCCCTTTTTCCTTCAGGACTCATCAGTGCTCCTGGACACCATCCAGAGGTAGTGGGTGGTTGTCTCCTCTTCCCTAGGGACTATTATTGAGTGTTACTGTTAAATTAGTATGGCAGTAGGGTGGAAACAAGAAGACATTGCTCCCTGTTAAAGCCTCTGTTGTTCTCCCTGGCCCCCTAGGGGCAGTTGTGCCATGCATGGTGGAGATGCTGTTTTACTAGGATGGTTTTATTTGTTTGTTTGCAGAATTCCTGTTTGAGTGTCTCTTCTGCACCAGTGAAATTCTCCTCTGGTCAGTTTATTGCTGCCTGCTACTCCTAACTGAGGAGCGGCTTTTCTTTTCCAAGTGTCACACAGTCTATGGTAGGTCCCAGTCCTTCCTAGCGTGTCAAAATTGCTTGAGTAATATCACGTGGACACTGAGGATGTAGCTGGGATTTCAGAGCCTTTTACTGCAAGGTCACTGGTCCCAGATTGGTAGTAACTGAAAATTATTCCCATATGATGTTTGTCTGGAGACTTCCATGACATGGGTTTATGGTGCCTGAATCCAGTTCCTGGTGGGCACTTGTCCACATTACAGAAGCCACCAGCACTGTTGACATTAACTGGCTTCTTGCTGGCAGTCTCTACAAAGAGGCCAAGGACATAGGAAGACAGAAGCTGAATTCACCATTAGGGTGTGTCTATATTTGAACTGGGAACATCATTCCTGGCTTGTGTAGACGTACCCACCCTAGCTCTCTCTGTTCAAGTCAGTACCTAAAAACAGCAGCGTGTCTGCGCTGGTGTAGGCGATGGCTTGGGATAGCCACCTGAGTGTGTACCCAGAGGAGTGGGTGGGATTGTACTTGGGGTAGATACCCCAAGCAGCCGTCTGGGCCACCAAAGCCGCACTGCTGTTTTTAGGTGTTAGCTCAAGCAGAGCTAGTGCAGGTATGTCTGCATGAGCTGGGAATCGTACCTTCCAGCTCAAATGTAGATGTGCCTTTACAAGTGGAAGCTGAGCCATGTTGGCAGGGAGCAGAGTATATGGGGAAGTTTTTGCTGCCGCTGCCTATGCCCTGCCAATGTCAGCAGATCCTCCAACCCCCGTCACCCTTTGAAAATTAATCTCCCACCCCCATCATAACTCTTCTTGGTTTTGGTGTGTGTGTGTTAAAATCTCCCTGATGACATCTTGTGAACGCATGCCCCTCTGCAGGCATCGAGTCCGTGGTGAGGAGCCTGAAAGGGATCCTGCAGCTGAATAATGTGGAGCTGCACAAGCAGGGACTTTTGCTGTTCACTGAAATACTGAAACGGTAAGGGACCTCCTGCTCGCTCACACATCACTGAGTTGGAGGATATTGCGAAGGCAAGGGAGAGCACCTGTTCACCAAAGACGGGCCTGAGAGCAAGTTTCAGATAAAACTGACTCATCCACATCTCATGCACCACCTACCAACAACTGCCCCTCAGTAGCTCCCTTGGCAGTGTCAGCAGAGAACTGAGGGACTGAGTGAACTGTCCTCCCAGCCTTGGGAAGGACACTTCCAGGGTAGGACAGAGGCACATTGGTGGGGAAGAGGACGGGGGAGCCAGGGGATTGTGTCAGCGTATGTGAGCAGCTCTACATTGCCTGTGCTGCTCTATGGCTAAACTGAGAGCACAACCTCCAGGGCTTTCAGTCCAACACCTGTCACCTGGGTTAAATTTTACAAAGAAAAGAAACACTAGGCTGAGATATTAATTCGTTTCCCATCACTCTTCTTTTCTGCAAAATAGGAGAATTCATGTACAGGGCCAGCTCCAGGCACCAGTGAAGGAAGCAGGTGCTTGGGGTGGCCAATGGAAAGGGGCAGCGGGTCCAGGTCTTCAGCAGCAATTTGGCGGCGGGTCCCTCAGTCCCTCTCTTCCTCTTTGTGCTGCTGCCGAAGTGCCGCCAAATAGGAAGAGAGGAAGCGAAGGACCTGCCGCCGAATTGCCGCAGAAGAATGAAGTGCCGCCGATCAGCTTTATCTTTTTTTTTTTCCGTTTTGCCGCTTGGGGCGGCAAAAAAGCTGGAGCCAGCCCTGTTCATGTAGTGTCTGGTTTTAATCCCCCACCCCCCCTTATTTCTTTGCCTCTCTATCACCCCAGTATCTCATCCTTTTTTTTTTTTTGCTCAGTTCCCCAAGCTGAATTTCTGTGACATGATATTATAGTCATTTCTGTACCAATAACAAAAAATGTGATGCTGTTGGCACAGGATGGTGCTGGCAGTGCAGGATCCGTCAGAAGGAGAGAAACCAGGATATGGGAAGAGAAAAGTTCTTGCTCACAGTACACATCTCTGCATTAATCATTGCAAATGGAAGAGAGGATAATATCTTGCCAAGCTAATGGCATTTTTAGTATGTGTTCTTGTTTGCTGTGCTTTGAAGTACAGTGTTTCTTTCAGATCATCTATTTTGTGCTGGGGAAAGGGATCCCATCAATGATCCTCTAATTTTTTCCCCTTCTACTTGCTCTCTAACTGAGGGTTGCTGCATTGCAGTAACACCTCCTCTCCCCCACACCACCATAGTCACTGGCTAAAGGGGTGGCTGAACACAGGAATCCATCCCTTAGGAATCCAGTCACTTTTTGAAAGGGTCAGGTGGTCTGGGGTAGCTCAGCGCACTCCATCTGCAGGAGTGTCAGCACAGGAGGAGCAGTGGGCATAGTTTGGGACCCAAACAGAGATGCTGCCATTTAGACCTTTCCTCCAAGGCAAGGTTACATCATAAAGTGCCCTACTGCAGTGATGTTTGTGCCCCCAGTAAGTAGGGAAGCGTTTCCCAAGGATTAGTGTTTCAAACAAGAAAGTAAAGTTAATTAACAAAATAAGAAAGTAAATAGAAGAAGGTGGGGTTTGATGCATGGAGACCAACCTTTCCAACAACATTCTCCTCACCCTGTCTCCCAAGCAGCTGTTCCAGTTATTCTTTCAGCTCTTACCTCAAGCATCTGGGCATGGGGTGGGGGTGGGGTGCTGAGCTGGAGTTAATCCTTTCTTCACTGAGTGACCAAATACTGCTTCTGCACCCAGTCATGCTTACTCCTGGCCTTTCCCCATTGGTAAAGGTCCCTGAGGGATGAACGCTATGGCACTGAAGACTCTAGTGTATTCTGCAATGAGAAGGTCAGGTAACCAAAGCTCTCATTTTCCAAGAACCAGAACCTTTTCTGAGGCTTAAAAAGTGGATGTATCCAGTCAATGGAGTTCTCCCTGTGCCTCTGCAATCCAGCTGCTGGACCTGCTGGTCAGAGGCTAGAGATGATTTTTAAAAAAATTAAATATATTGGTCAATGTGGTGCTCTTATTTAAAAGATTATTTTTCAAGTTCATGGCAGCATCCATGCTTCCTGGCCCCATTCAGCATTAGAAGTGCCACAGTACTGCAAGAGAAGCTCTTTTCATGGCATTTCCAGCCTCTCTGGAAGCAGGGTATTTGTTTCCTTATTTAGAAATGTCTGTGTTCAGGTAGACATTCAGGTACCAGAGTGTTGAGCATGGTGTGAAATCCTAGGTAGGTGAGTCCTTTCTCTTGTAGGGAGGCTGTTTGTCCTGAAGTTTTCAGACCAGTGTTTGCTGATCCAATCAGTTAACCATCCACACACTTAGGTTTTTCTCCAAACCTTTTGACATTTGCCTGTCATGAATGGTGCTGGGATCCAGCCATAACAGACTCATAGACAGCATGAATGTTTTGCTTGGAGACTACATGAAATCCATGGAGAGTCACTATCTTAGTACAAAGCTAGGACTTTGCTGTGTGACGTCTGGTAGCATGGCCTGAAGCTGCAAGACTTAGCGTCTTTTGGGGAATAAGGACAGAACACTGAGATGGTCTTATTTTTCAGACTCTCTTTTCAAGCAGGGGTGGTCACAAAGCTTTACTCATTTGCTCTTTGTTTCCCCTTCTCAGGCAGCCAGTGGAAATCAAGTTATTCTCAAATCTAGCCATGTGTAAAGATGCCATTGGTGTTCTTGTGGAGGCAGTAAAATGTCCGGTGCTGGAGGTAGCAGCAGAGGCTGTGAAAGCTGTGGCAGCTATTCTGAGGTAAGCAGGAAGGGGTCTGATAGGCTTCTTTCAGGAGAGATGTATTTTGGATGTGACAGATCTGTCTTATCTATATTGGCCTCTTCAGATCTACTCCTGTCTGTCCAAATCCATCACAGTTGTGTAACCCTTCTGACAGGCCGAGTTGATAGCAGCAAGGGCCAGGTTCAGTACATAGGGGTCCCCTCCCAAAAACGTAATGCAAAACCAGCTCGAGCCCTCACCCAGTGACCTGCGAAAATCTTACACACACCCCTGGGCGCCTTAAAGAGGCAATTTCCCTCTCGCAAGCACAGAGTCTCGGTGTAGCAGAAAATTTTTAATAACATGAGGTAAATGACATCAGCATTAAATTGGGAAAACACCACAACTAGGGTTCATAGACCAAACCATGAGCAAAGATCCACCCCAGCAAATTGGGCCGTGTCCTTTCCCTTTGGTTCTTAAGTCCAGCAACCCAAAAATCACCCAAAGTCCCAAAAGTCCAACAACCCAAAAGTCTCGGGCACAGGGTGTTAAGGGGCACCTTACGTGGTCCGAGGCCAACTGCCACGCCTCTCCATGGGGTTCTGCTGCAGCCTTCACCGCAAGCCGCTCTAGCCATCCTGTGAACTGCTCTGCCAACTGCTCTGCTCCACTCCACCAGCCGTACCATGAGCCGCTCCAACTGTCCCACAAACTGCTCCGCTCTGCCAGCCACTTAGCAATATATCTTCAGCCCCCCCCCACTAGTTAACACAGCATTCAGTGATTTCAACTCTTAGTAATTTTAGTTCTTTAGTGATTTCAGCTTGTAGTAGGAGAGCCCCAGTGCTAGTGCACCATTGGCCCAAAGTGAATTCAGCTCAGTAACCTGTAACTAGACTCTTAATGGAATCAAAATTAGATCTGATATTCAACAGTAGAAGCAGTGCTATTGGTGTTTCAGGCTCTCAAATGGCACCCACACCACCAGATACAAATACTTGTCCCCAACCTCCCTCAATTTACTGGGTTTTGGAACCCATGTCCCTTGTCTAGTGAGTGCTACTTAATTGATGGCGAGTCCCTCTGTCATAAAATAGTTCCACTGGCCTTGATTCACATAGTCAGGGTAACACCACTTTATTCTTCCTGCCCCAATATCAGAGAAACTGGGGATCCCACAGCAGCCAAAGTGACCATTTGAGCTGCTGTGGGCTCATGCTAGGCGGGGTGGGTGTGCCTATGCAAACAAAATCAGCCCCGAAGTTCTTTTCCACAACTCACCACAATTCACCACCAGATGTCAGGGTAGAGCTCATCCTGACTCTGCTTACAGTTGCGTTCAGCCCAGTTACAGATTGAAGGCAGGAGCGAGTTGGTGAAGGTGTGCTGCTGTCAGTCAAGTCTTTCTTCATGCTGACCGTGCTACGACATGTGACCTTCTAGGGAGTTCTGTCTCCAGTGGGGAAAGTTCAGAGGCTTCTTCCAACTCCCAGCTGCTGCTGTTCTTTCTCCCCGTCTCCACAGGAAGGACCACTTGAGCTGCCCCCCAGTGCAGTATGTAGAGTTGCAGAAACTGATTGAGACTATGCTGAAGCGGTGCGCTGACCTCTCACTGCCACCCATTAACAGGAGGCCTGCAGTAAGTCAAGGAGGAGCATGCTGCTTCTCAGCAGGCCTTGCGGATGATGGCCTTTGTATATAGCTGGGCATATGGATTCCGCATACACTCACAATTCCCCCTTCTTCCATGGGTGGTGGGTAGCCCTCAGGGATCCCCTCAGTTTCCCTTTATTCCTCCTCCTCTGGAAAGGCCTCCGTTCCTCTCTAGTTGAGGAAGACTGGGTATGGGTCCCTCTGGAGGCCATTCTTGCTTCTGCCAGATCAATGGAAATGTGGGGAGGTTTGCTAAGAAGTGGTGCAAGGCATTCCTTCCCTCAGGGCTGAGTTTGCTCCTGCCATGTGTCCTCAGCTCCAAGAGCGTTCAAGCTCCCCATGTTCAGGCTCCTTCACAGCATGCTTCCTGTTTCATGTTTATTACCAGTGATGTTTCTCACTCTGCCTTAAACTCAGAGGGTCACATTTCATGGGCTGTGACCCCCCTCTCACCAAGAGAGCTGCCAGCAATCATTTGGATTGCATATCCGATCCTCTTCTCATGAAGGGGAATTGAGCAAAGATCCAGAGGTGTATCTGAGGAGGAGGAGTGATAACAGGTGGCTGAACACAAGCACAAAGGTTAAGAACCCCTGTTTTAGATCTATATGCACGTGTGTTTATGTCACAGATGTGTCTGTAATAGAAGAAGCACCTGGCTAATGTAGGGTTGTGCAGGTAGCTGCTGAATTTTCTCTGAAAGAATTGTGTATGGTCTGAATCATGTAGCATCTGTTGTTTTTGTTTTATCTGATGGGGGACTATGAAGTTGTTTCATGCTGCTTGGTTAGACCTTAGATGTCAGTCTATTTGCTTTTCCTTAGCTCCACTAGCACTAGTGAATCTCTAATAGAGGGGAACTGGGCTGTGGAAAAGAAACTAGGTGTTGACTTCTTTTGACTCAGGGAAAGCAGAAAATGGTTATTATAAGGTGGAAGTTGTTTCAGATCAGATGGGAAAGTGGCTCATGGACACGCAGTTTTCAGACTGCTAAGGCACCAATCTGTAACTGTTCTTAAATGTAGTCCATTCGGAGAGAATTCAGAGAGGAACAATTCAGATGATTAAGGGGCTGGCGGGTTTGACTTATGAGGAAAGATTAAAAGAGCCATGTATGTCCTTCCTCACCCAAATGACTAGCACCCTGGTCTTACAACTGAGGAGATGCAGGCAGACTCCTGTGCTCCCATGAAGCCACATTGAAGTCATGGGACTCTGTGGGAGCTGGTGTCTGCATATTCAGTCAGCTGCAGGATTGGGGTGTAAGGAGGGATATAACAATCTACAAGCAACTTGAATGATGTAAACACTGAGGAGGAAGAGGAATTGTTCAGGGTTGTCCGAGAGGTAATGAGATGAAACTGAGTTGAGAGAAAATTAAAGCTGAATAGTCTGCCCAGAGAGGTGGTAGAAGCCTCATTACCTGAGCCATTTAAAACTGGACCAGCCAGACCCATGGCAATATATTGCATTGTCCGGTGGGCAAGGTATTATCTAACAGACCTTTTCCATCTCTAATCTCAATGAGGGAAGTGCAGATGGGTAATAACATTGAACAGAAAGGAACCCATCTGTGGATGAAATGAGTTTGGCTCCAGGTTTTGTCCCCCACCCCTGGTTGGTTAGATGATTTTAGGGGAGAGCGTTAATTTGTTTCACATATAAACACAAGCTCTTGGGGACATGTCCCTGCTTCTGTCCTTTAATGGGGTGATCTTCTCTTCTCAATCTCTCAGAGTCACCTGGGGCACAGCACTCAGAACAAAGCAGTTTTGCGACAGGGGCAGTTCCTGCTCAGCACTGTGGAAGGCTTCAGAAATGCTTGTAGGTGAGGAGATAAGGGGATTTCTGTTGGTTCTGGCTCTGTCTAATCAATTGATGAGTGAATTCCCCCCTCCCACACACACACACCCTGTGCCCAGCTAACATTCCTTACAGTCTCTCTTCAGCGTGATGTGAAAGTACAGTATATGCTCTGTCAGCTCAACTTGTGGAAGGGCTGCTCTTTGGTGAGTCTGCCAGCTGTTAGCCAGATGCTAGAGCAGACCAAACTACTTAGAGGAATCCTTTAAGCCACTAGAGTGGATGTATCCAGTCAGTGGAGACCTCCCCTTGCCTCTGCGATCCAGCTGCTGGACCTGCTGGCCAGAGGCTAGAGATGATTTTTTAAAATTAAATGTATTGGTCAATGTGGTGCTCTTGAAACTGGAGACGCAAGTTGTCTGTTTAGCCACATAACCTGTAAACTGCAGGATGTTGCAAAGTAGAGTCCCCCTCATGGTGACTCTACCCAGATCTGGAGGGACTCACTTCTAAGAGTGAGAGAAGAATCTCCAGCTGCCTATTTAATCCTTGGTGGCTTCACTGAGATGCCAAAAGAAGGGAGACCCAGTACCAGTTTTGATGGTTTTGTGATGCACACCTGTCCCATTAGAAACTTGCCTGAGACCCACTAGCTCATTCCATATAGATCCCTGAACAGCTGTTGGAAAATAACAACTTCTGGTCACTAACCAAATTTGGTGGCTAAACTTGAACTACTGGAAAATTGTATTCCATTTCCAGTCCCCTTGTTTTAGTCTGTGCTGAAACAATGTCTTGGTACGGTATTAGGGGGCGCTGTGATTCTATAATACTGTCTTGTATTGCGATGCAAAACTGGGTTCATGGCCACTCATGATCATTAAATACCCTATGGCATTTTTATAAAATTTGAGGCGTTAGCCCTAGTGGTCAGGCCAATTCCAAACTGGCTAAGTACATTTAACCAAATGATATTGTCTCCTCACCCTATAGCAGGAATTCCATGTAATTCTTTCCCCTCCTGTGATACTATTGTGTAGTGTCACTGGCTCAAAATGGCTGTCAGGTTTCACTCGAGACAGCTCATTTCACTGACTGATCCGTGCACATACAGCGTGTGACGTGCTCTGGGGTCCGTCAGGTTCTAGAGATGTAACACACTGTAGGTTCTGCAGAGAGCAGGAGAGTGCATTCTCTGATATCCATGTGTATGTTTCTAGGTTAGCTGTGGAATGTCAAAGCGACCCCTTGGCTCAGGAAAACGTTTTCACCGCTCCCAGCTCGGAGAGCGAGAATACTCTGAGCAGCTTCTCTGAGTTTCTGCTGAGGATTTGCGACAGCCTTTGCATCCCCATAGTCCTGGTAGGGTTAGTTCAGAACCCACGCTGTCCCTCAGGCATAAGGGACACCCAAGCAGTAGAGATGCTTATGGGAGATTGTTGAGAAGAATTTGTGTGAGAGAGGAGAATTAGGGATAAACCAGTGCATCAAATGTAGTTGTGGCATATTCTGTCTCACGTTGGGCAATCCTCAAATTATTTGGCTTATGGGAAACAGAAGAGAGAAGTCTAGAGGTAGAGTGTACGAACTCAAAGCCCTGCCTGCGTTCCATAGAGAGGACAGCAAATGTCTCCAGACCACAAAGTCTCTGAAATAGCATCCCACCCAAATGATATAATAAATGACAGGTTTTGCCACTGCTGGAGGTGATGTATGTATGAACCACTCTCCCTCTTCTCCTCTCTCAAGGCCTGCCACTGACCTGGCAAGCAACAGAACTTGCAAGTTCCTTTTCATATAGGCTTATGCAGTATATTGATTAACCTGTGGAACTTGCAGCCACAGGACACTATTGAAGTGCATAGCTCCCTAAAGCAAAGAATAAAGGTTAAAAAAAGGAGCAGACGCACATAGCTTTGTACTGTGTTTCTTACAAATCTATCACTACACTCCTTACAGATGTAGGGCCATAATGAGCAAAGCACTTCAGTGCTTACATCTGTCTCTATTCAGCAAAGTGCTTAAGCACATGCTTAAGTCCCATTGATATCAAAGCACACGCTTAAGTGCTTTGGTGCACTGGGTCCTCAGTAGCTGAACAGGAATACCATTTACTGTGATTTTGTGTAGAGTAAAAATGACAGTATCAGTCTTATGCTTCAGGGCAGAAGCTGATTAACAACTGCAACCAGAAAGAATTTTTATCCTTGGTGTAGAATCTTGCAGTTAGGAACAATTGTTCAGAGAGGGAAGTTGTTAAATCTGCCTCTGAAACACCTGGCATAGGCCACCATCTGAGGCAGGATACTTGCTGTCAGCAGTCTTGTTGGAACAACAGCTGTTTGACTTCAGTCACATTTGCCTGGCTTTGTAACTGTGTGAGACTCACTGGAAGATCACTGATTCCTCCTGTGTGTGCTTGCATGTTTCTCACCACAAAGGCATAGGCGCTGACTCCATGGGTGCTCTGGGGCTGGAGCACCCACGGAAAAAAATTAGTGGGTGCTCAGCACCCAACAACCACAGCTGTTTGGCAGGCCCTGCTGATCAGCTGTTTGGCGGCTGGCAAGAGGTGCTCAGAGGAGGGGGTGGAGTGGGGGTGGGAAGAGGCAGAGTGAGGGTGGGGCCTTAGGGGAAGGGGCAGAGCAAGGGTGGGGCACTGGGAGGGGGGGGGCGGATGGGGGGGTGGTACC